GGAGGAGAAGGAGAGAAATAAAGAAACAGAGAGGAAGGAAAAGGAAAATGAAAACTCTGTCCCACGGGCAGAAGACACACCTTAATTAGGCTTTAAAAAATCACTTCTTCATAGAGGTTCAGAAACCCTTACCCAAAAGAAGTATTAATGAAATGAACTTTATATCCATGTCTTTGTGGTGAATATTTAAACCAGAGATAAAAAATTTTAAAAAGAGACACCTATACAGAAGTGCCTATTTAAAACCTCTGTAAGAAGTAAATCTGAGGGATCAAGAATTTCTTTTTGGAACTGAAACTAGGTTAACTACAGCTCTATGACAGCCTATGTAGGTGGTCCTGAAACTTTTCCAAAAGGCTTTGCTTGCCTGATCTGCCTGAAGTGCAGCAGTGTGACTGCAAACGCTCTGTCGCCAGACTCTACTTACTGGAGGCTGTCCTTTGGGTACAACATTCATGAGGAAAACGAGCCTTGAAAACACTGCCTTTAATCACTGTTCAACCCAGGCAGGAACCAAACTGCATTTGGAGACTTCTGAATTATTACAGAATTTGGTGAGCTGAAAGAGTTTCTTTTTATTTATTTCTTACCAAAAGTCGAAGGCTCAACAGTTTTAACTTAGCTGAGACATCTCTAGTTCTTTGGCCTATTGAAGGCAGGCAGTGCTTTTCACAGAGGAGATTAAAGTTCCCTAAGTTTTCAAATGAAAAGACAGACATATCATTCAGCAAAAAGTCTGGTGCTTGGCTACCTGGGTTACTTTAAATGCAGATTCCCAAGTCCCACCTCCAGGGATTATGAATAGTAGTAATGGAAGCCCAGGAAATACATATTTCAGAAAATATGCTAAGGGATTCCAATATAGGTGGCACGAGGAGCAGCATTTCAAAATCACCACTCTCCATTCCTAAGAATGGTCCTACCTACACGCTGTGTTACCAGGGAAGAAAAGCAGAAACAAGAAGCAATTTGTAGACTCCTAGACATTATAATTCCACAAATATTTTTTCTATTATTTTAACATAAAGGGTACTCTCATAATTGCTGTACAGAAGTAGGTTATGGCTCCGAGATACAAAGTGCATCTCCTGTACGAATGGAAATATTCCTTGAATCAAATGTTGACCTCTGATAGTAATGCTTTCCGGACATGTTCAATAAGCAAGGTCAAGCTTAGTTCAAATTTTCTCTTAATTAAACAAGTGAGGATTCAAGAGTAGGTAGTACAATGTTAGGAGGGGAGGACAAACAAACTGACAGTGCTCACAAAGCACTTAAAGAGCCATTTCAGCCCCCTTCATAAACAGTTCATCAGTTCAGAGTAGCAGTGTGGCGAGACAGAATTTACACAAACACTCGATTGCAGAGCAACAGATGGCAGACACTGTCAAGCAATGTCATGTTGAAAGAATTCTTGTGTCTAGGCCAACTTTAACTGCTGTGTCAAACGTGTTCAATAATTTCAGCTCAGTGAGGAAAAGGAAGCAAGAAGCTAGAAGGAGGAAAAGGGGAAGGAAGATCACCTCCATAATGTTCTAGGTAGCAACTAAATTGTCCCTTTAAATCAGAGGGTAGTATAATAGCTATCTGAAGGACAGAAGTCAAGGAAAATTGTGAGGGAATAAGGGAGATGAACTATCCAACTTGTGGGAAGCAAAAAGGCTTTCATGTTTTCTTTCTGGTACGTCACACAGTGTACATTCAGGTTTTCAGATATTTAATCTTTTGTTTCTGCTGTATCACTGAGTAAATGGGAAAGGTGTAGGCCCATTTGAGCCAAATGATAAAAGAATTAAATCTGGAAAACACGGACAGAAAGTCCTGCTCTAGTCAATTACTTCAGTTTAGAATTCCTTCTAAGACCTCTAAGAGAAAATCAACGTTCTGATTCTTCTTTCAACACAGAAGCAATTATTATCACCTGTACTATTCAATCTTAGAATAAACACTTTTCTACAACTGAACCCATGAACTAATTTCTTTCAAAACCATATGGGGCATGGCTTTAGAGTCAATTTTTAAAAAAGCAAATAGAAGCATGAGCAAAATGTTTCCTACTGTTTAAGACTCAGCTATTCTTTTTCCCTGAGATGGTACTGAGTCCGAATTCCTGAGAAATAGGATTTTTGCTTGGCGTGGGGGGTAAGTAAACACTTCTCTTATTAAGATAATTTTTTAAAAATTCTAATTCGAGTAAATAGAAATATAAACACTTAAAACACACAAGAGGAACAGATGACTTCTTACCTTACTACTACCACTTTCAGGTTTAAGGTCATTCTGTTAAAAAAGGAAAACAATATTTTAAGACATAGCTAAATGACCTCTCACCAAATGTTTATTTCCAACCTTGGAACCTGAAACTACATTCTGGTCGTAGTGAACTCCCTGAGAGATGTCAAGGTCTGTAGAAGGGTCCTGTCCCCCACCTCCAACCCCATCCCGGACTCTGAGCATTTCAGGGTCCCTTGTTAGAATGCTATGGTTTAAAAAGTTCATAGTTACCATCTTTTTTAAAGGAATTTGGAAGAATACCAAACGACTATATTAGGTAGAAATGTTATTAACTGCATTACAAAAATCAATCAATTAAAAAAAAAAAATCCAAAATCAGTTTCCTTAGCTTTCAGAGATACTACATGTGTTGCTTTGCAAACAAAAAGCTCTATCTTAGCACACAGTAAGGCTAGATGGCTTTGGAGAAAATTTAGCCTGATGGCTAGGTTGAACAAATTTCCATGGTTCTGTGGCTGCTGGGGAGCTTTCCACTCCAGACGCACTCCTAGCTCAGTTCATTCTTACCGGATGCACATCGCCAATATAGTATTGTTTTAGCATTTCTCTGGCATCAGAGGAGTGGCCTACGTCTTCGAAGCTTTCACTTGCATCTGCACCAGCTTGTTCCAACAGAACCTCTTCTCCGCCAGGATGCTATAAGAAAAAGATATTTACTGAACAGAGCACGCTCTGAAAAGCAAACCAACATAAGTTACTTTCCCCTCCTCTCTCTTCTATTTTCTCCCTTCAATGCAAGGAATGGAACGTCGTATGCCACCTGATAGGATGCAGTGGGAAGAACACAACATAACTTCTGTGATATTCTGGCCCAAAATGCACAACGTGGGTATAATTCTGAAGAAACCTGGGGCAACTGCAAATTGGCAGTCTACAAAATGACTGACCTGTGATCTCCAAAAATATCAAAGTCATAAAAGACAGACCGAAGAATTACTCCAGACTGAAGGAGGCTAGAGAGACAAGACAATTGGGAACAACATGTGTTCCCGTGGTTGATTTCTTTTGCCAACATTGTTGAGACAGCTACAGAAACCTGAATGGAAACTCTGGGCAAAGGGTGTATGAAATCCTGTATTCTCCTGTTGCAACTTTTCTGTAAGTTAGAAATGGTTTCAAAAGAAGTTAAATAAATAATATCAAAATAACTACTTCCATATCTAGGAAGTAAATTTTTTCTATAACTTACAAGTTACAGAAAGTTATGACCTTGGACAAGTTATTAAAAAATTGAGGTATTTTTGCTTATTTGTAAAATGGAGATAACGAGTACCTATCTTAACTACTATTATACAAAATAAGGATAAGAAAAGTGAGAAAGAGAGACGTGCACTTCGTATAATATGCTATCATCTACGATTTTAAAAAGCAGATACACATATGTGCACATATGCATAAAATCTCCCTGGAAACACTGCAAGGAACATGGTAGCTGGCAGACAGGGGAGAGGGAAGACTTTAAACTACACACTCTTTTTGAAACTGTTTTATCAAGTAAAGTATTACCTATTCAGAAAATAATTCTTTTTTAAAGTTACATTTAGCAAGTCCCTTACCTAAACATTCAATAAACATTTATTTAAAACTAGTAAATTTAGAATTATTTGACATATCAAATTTGTATTTCTGAAATCAAGCAATACTTTAAAATAGTTTCTTTTTATAACCTTTTAAGCAAGACTAAGATGATCATCCTGTCTTACAGATGAATTCAACTGAAGCACAAAAACTCTTAACTATAATCTCCCAGTTATGCCGCTTGTCTATGAGCTCACTGAGGATAAGAATTTCCATTTTGTCTCCAAAACAGTCTCCAGCCATTGGGTGGGTCTTCCATCCCAGAATTTAAGCATGCTGTTTTAAAGCAAGATTAAGATAGCCGCCAATTATCTGTTATTACATTTAAAAACTCTCAGCCGTGTTAAGCCATTATTTTTGGAATTGTGTCCCAATTTCCTCTTTGCACCTAAGCTATGGTTTTTTCTTTACGACATATCCCGACTATTATGTTGCCTTTCAAAATAAAGGATAACAAAACTTTTTAGTAGCGTGAGATATTTCAGGGAACGGTTGGATTTATGACTTCCTACGCAGCTTTTTCTATGACCAAGTATTTCATTTTCACCCATCTCTTACCGCTGATAAACAAATTATAACAGAAATAAATACCGTTAACATTTTAGTGTGTAAAATTCCATTGTTTTCCCAAAATATTCATTCAATCACTTCAAACATTATTCTATACTTTTAATTTAGTATTTACTATTTTAAGTACTAGGCAGTGATAAATACAGTAAATACTGTTTTATAGCCTACTTTTTTTCACTGAGGCAAGGGGGGCGGGGTCAAAAAAAAACAAACCCTACATTTAGTAGCCCTCACTCTAAAATGTGGTCTTAACAGACGGTTTAGAGAGAACATGCAAAAAAAGATTTCAAAGACTCCTTGGTTCCCGTTTTAGAATTCTATAAACTTCGAATATTCTTATTTAAAATCAAATGTAGCCCCCCTAGAGGCAGTGCACTTAGGCCTGAGGCCACAGTAGACCCTGGACCAGTCCTGGACCAGACAATTCCCAGGCTGAGGGGCAGGAGGCCCTGAGGAGAACCTCCCAAAAAAGCCCAGTGCCTGTGGGAGAAGCCCTGGAGCCTTTGCCTGGCTGGCTCTCAGTGAAGATGGGTGCGCGGGAGCTGCTCAACTCCAACATCAGGTTCTGAGTGGATCTGTCCAACTTTCTCATCACCTGTGTGGGAATAACCCACCACTGTGTGCCCATCCTACTGCAAAGCGATAGGATGCTCAATCAGAACCAAGTATCTGATAGGTCCTAATTCGAAGCACAGTAAGAGAAAATGGAAATTATATTCTCAAATAGTCCTTCTTGATAACCCAAAGGATAGATTTTTCCAAAAAAAGGGGAAACAGTACCACCTTCTATAACTAATGCCACTATGCACACAGACATTATGAAAGGGAATGTAACAAATGTCCCCCCTATGATTCTTATTGATGGATGGATCAACACGACATTCTCAGGCTTTGTCACAACCAAAGTCTTACTTCCACTGACCTTATTTTAAGCCTATGCTACAGCAAGTCACAGGGTGCCATTTCTGTATCAAGAGGTAGATATAATTTGCATACTGAGTACTGTAATCAAAAACAAATGACTCTTGATTCTACAAATTAAACCACCTAGTTTCTCTTTAAAAGACAAATCAAATGTAAAAAGTAAAAATGGAGAAGTCAAAACAAGATCTATGTATTATACCCATGTCAACATCCTGGTTGTGATATTGTACTCATCTTGCAAAATGTTACCATTTTGGGGAAAAAACAGGTAAAATGTACAAGGAATCTATTATTTCTTCTTTTTTTTTTTTTTTAGGCGAGGCAACCCTTGGTTGACTTCACAGACTGCAAGGACCTTGTTAGTTTACAATCCCTTATTTTTTTATTTTTTACGCCTACAGCACCTGCTCTTCCTAGGTGGTCTTCCATCTAAGTACTAACCAAGTCTGAAAGTCTGACCCTGCTTAGCTTCCAAGATCAGATGGGATTGGGCTTGTTCAGGGTGGGATGGCCGTAGACTCTTATTTCTTACAACTACATATGAATCTACAATTTTCTCAATAAAATTTTCAATTAAAAAAATCAAATGGAATTTCTAAGTATGTGTATAAATGTGTATAAATTTGTACAAATTTATACAAATGTGTATAAATTTACAGACACACACACACAGATCATAGCAGCATTGTTATGACCCTGAACTTGAAATAACCCAGTGTCCATAAGCAGAGTATGAACAAATTGAGGGAGGGGCAATGAGGATTTATTCTTCATGGGTAGAGTTTCAATTTGGGATGATGAAAAAGTTCTGGAGATAGATGATGGTGATGGTTGCACAATGATGTGAATGTACTTAATGCCACTAAATTATACACTTAAAAATGGTCGAAACAGTAACATTTGTTATGTGTATTTTACCACAATAAAAAGAAGCTAGGTTTACATACCTATATGTCGAAAAGTTGCTTTTGCCTGGATCCCAGCAAAACAAAACAAGACTAAAGGAATTGAGAGATTATCCTCAGTAATCTAGATTGGTTGCCTACATAATTGAAATCTATTGGACAATCATGAATTCCTTATTTTTATTAAATAAACCTAATATAATGCAGTACATAGTTCCCATTTTATTCTAGGATCTGCTTTGCTTTTAATAAATGTTAACTCATTATGAATTTTCAAAAAAAGGTTCTTTTGACCTGAACAGCCTTTGTGTTTTAAAGCTAATGGACCTTATTTCAGCTTATAACATCTAAGCAATTACACAATATTACAAATAAAAATGTTCCAAATAAAGTATACCGCAATCAAGTTCATAAACTGTCAGAAGAGATGAAACAATGTGATGGATTCATTTCTACCTCGGTCAACCAATAATCAAGTGAAAACCTTTAGACACAAAGAAAATTCTATAATGTCTCTTGTGAAGGATTTTAGTTCAACTCTCCAAAAAAATGTGGTAGAAGCATTTTGGAATGTTTCTTTTCATTTACTTTACTATTACTGAAATGAGGACAAAAAAATTTTGTTTTAATATAGAAAAGAGGACAACTTACAACAAAAAATAATACTTCCAGATTACTAATTCTATAGACAGGACAGGGACAGATGGGCAGAAAGAGGAAAATGTGAACAATGACAGTTACAGAATCAAAATCTTGTTGGGTAAAAATTACAAATTCTCTGTGGGTGGAAATTCTATACTAATGTAATAAAAATGTAACATAGATAGTTGGAAAATGAAATCTAGAAACATTAAGTAAGATCATAGAAGCTGCAACGTTAGGCCAGGTGATGAAAAGAGGGACCTCTAGCCAAACACATTTTTCTTCTCCCACCAGACTATAAGCTCCATAAGAACAGGGACCAGTTTTCTTTTTTATGGCTGGATTCCAGAGCATAGCATGGCACCTGGAACACTGCGAGGTATAGGGCACTTTGCCCTCTTTCTCCTCCCACCTGTTCTCTCTCCCTTTCCTCGCTGGCAGGTGCTCACTCATACCCACAAGCAAAATGAATAAATAAGTGAAGGTTGATTTGTTGTTCACGGCCTCTCACTTGGACAGTGCTGGAAATTAAATTTCACCTTATCTTATTCCCAGCCTTCCCTAGGACTGACCACTTGGGACTACTCACTGAAAGACAGCACTCTTTCTATAGATTTGTTAATTCTACGAGATAGGTAAATTGTACTCTCTTTTGACTTGCCTTGGAGAAATCCAGTAAGAATTGGATTAGTCAAACTCTGAAGCTTTAAGGGGTTATTCTAGGGTTGCACCAAAAAAAGTCTGCATTCTCAGTCTTCATGAAGGCACCCTCTACCTTGCATGACAATTACTTGTGCACAGATCTCATCCACCTGCAAGTCCAAGGCAGTTAATTCACTTTTAAATTTTCAGAGCATCTGCCATTTAAAAGTGCTCAAAAGATGCTGCAGGAAAAATAGAATTTATTTTATTAATAATAAACATAACTGCTAACATTTACTGAGCTCTTTATGCCAGATACCATAACAAAGTCTTTATATGCATTATTTAAATTAACTGGCCCAACAACAACCTTGTGGAGTAGGTACTATTATCTCCATTTTACAGATGGAAAGGGCCTTTAAAGAGCTTATTTGCCCAAGAGTGCACAACTGTTAAGTTGTAAAGTAGGAAACTGAACCAGACACTTAGACTGCAGAGCCAAGACCCAGCCATTAGAATTGTACTTCATATATATTAATTTTGCCAAGTTTCTCTTCAAAAGACTCTGTTAAGAAAATGAAAAGGCAAAATACAGAGTGGAGAATATATTCGCAATACATGTATCTGAAAAAGACTTGCATCTAGAATATATAAAGAACACTTTCAAGTCAATAATAAGAAAACAAACAATCCAATTAAAAAATGGGCAAGACTGAACAGACACCTCTAAAAAGACATAAAAATGGCAAATCAGCCCACGAAGATACTTAACGTCATTTGTCATCAGGGAGATGCAAGTTAAAACCCTAATTATATACCAGTACACACCCACTAGAATGGCTAAAAGTAAAATTACTGGCAAATACCATGTGTCAATAAGGATATGGAGAAACTGGAAAACTCATGCTGCTACTAGGAGTGTAAAATGATGTAGACACTTTAAGAAAAGTTCTGGCAGTTGCTTAAAAAGTTAAAACACACACACACACACACACGCACACATGCACATGACCTAGCAATCTCACTCCTAGATGTCCATGCAAAGATGTGCACATGAACGTTCATAGCAGCTTTATTCATAATAGCCAAAACTGGAAACCACCAAAATGTTAATCAACAGATAAACAAAGTTGAGTATACAATGAAATAAAAAGCAATAAATAGAAACAGATTGCTGAAAACATAGAAAAAGCATAAATGAATCTCAAATATATTAAGCAGAAGACGCTAGACATGAGTAGTTTTCTAGTGTTAGAAGTCAAATCAATGGTTGTATGAGGACGGGTGGTAGAAATGTTCTATATATTGATTATGATGGTGATTACACATGTGAGACATTTGTCAAAACTCAATGAATTCTATATATAAAATCTCTACATTTCATTGTATATGCATTAGATCTCAAGAGTTTACGTAAGGAAACAAACCTAGATAGCAAAATATTAACAACCCAAATGTTTATCGATAGGAGACTGCTTAAATAGTGATCCACAGAACAAAATCTATGAATAAGAATGTGTTCCAGGAACTGATGTGGAAAGATTACTGAGACGTACAAGTTAAGTGAAAAAAGGCACAAACCAGTGTGTATAGCAGCGGTCCCCAACCTTTCTGGCACCAGGGACCAGTGCTCATGTGAGAATCGAGGGCCTGATGTGAGGTAGAGCTGAGGTGCTGATGCTAGAGGGGCTGCAAATACACATGAAGCTTCGCTCGCGGGTCTGCCGGTTGCCCTGCGGTACTCATCCGCGGCCTGGGGGTTGGGGACCCCTGGGGTACAGTATGTTACTTTCCGTGTAAAGAATAGGAGGGGCTACGTTCACTTTGCTTATGTGTGCAAAACAAAACTCGGGAAGGATACACAAACAACTAGTTAACTTTGGGCAGATGAAGTAGTTAACTTTGGGCAGATGAAGGCTTTTCACTATATACCTGTATGCCCTATTCAAAAAAGAAAAAAATTAACCTGAGTTCCAGAAAAAAGGTACCCATTCTAACTTCCCTACATCATATCCCCAATCCTTCCAAACTATATCTAAAATGTGAAAGAAGGTGGCTATAAAACAGACCTAACTCCTAAGTCCCCCATCTCATCTAAGAACTCTATTCTTCCAGACCTCCAGGCCAGAAACTTTGGTGTCATCCTTGACTCTTTCTCTCACTCCTCAAATCCAATGCATCATTAAATCTTACTGGCTCTACCATCACAACACATCCAATATCTGACACTTCTCACTACCCCACTGCTACCACCCTGGTCCAAGCCACTATTTGGGCTCCTTAATTCTGCCCTTGTCCTCCTTTAGCCTCTTCTCAATAAGTGCAGTCAGAGTGACACTATTAAACCATTTAAGTCACATCATGTCACTCACTCCTCTGCTCCACTGTAGTTTCCCTTCTCAGGACAAAGGTCAAAAACATGCAAAGCTGTATGCAATCTGTTCTTCCCTGATCATGCTGACTTCATCTACTGCTATCCAACCACTACAGACTCCCTCGTTGTTCCCCCCAAAAAAACATCACACATACTCCTACCTCAAAGGCCTTTGAACTTGCTTCCTCTACCGGGAATGCTCTCCCCACAGATATCCACATGACTAGCTCTTAACTTCCTTCCAGCCTTTACTCCAGTCATCTTAATAAAATCATCTCTGGCCATCATAACTGAAATTTCAACTCCTCATCTGCACACCCTCATCCCATACATATCTATTATCTTCTTCTCTGCTTTTTCTTCTTAGCACTTACCACTACCTAACATAGCATGTATTTTAGTTATTTGCTCTGCTTATTATCCACTTCCCGTAGACTGTAATCCCCCTGAGGGCGTAAATGTTTAATTATCCACTGTTGTATCCTCAGTACTTAGAGCAGTATCTGTCACATAGCAGACACTTGATAAATATGTGAATGAGTAAATGAATGAATGAATAGGGTTAGACTGAACAAGAAAACAGAGATGGATACTACAGAACAGGTAAATAAAATGGCTAAATGCAGGTAAAGATCTCCAGTTCAAACTTCAGGGGAAGCCTTGGCACACCTGTGATGTCTCTGGCTCCATCAGCATGTGGCGAAGCAGTTTAGCAACCACTACTCAAGACTGAGTGTCCCCTACAGATATTGAGAGCTCCTTCTAAGTTCATTCTATATTCTGAATAAATCAAGAAGAAATTGGGGGAAATAAAACCACAAATGAAAAACATTATTACCTACCTATTATGAACTACACTTTAACAAGCTACAACCCACAACTAAAACTTATGACGCATATACCAAAGGACATAAGTCTAGAATTCTGAATACCATGTAGACGAGAAATCTAAATCTCAAAAAAAACAAGTAAACAAGATCTAAACCAGACTCTTCCACTAATCAACTGCATGAGCAAAATCTCTCTGAACCTGTTTCTTGTACCCCTGTTAAAATAAGGATCACTACTATCGAAGTCACTCTCGATTAGTTATTCTGGAGATAAAATAATGGGAAAGCACTTTTAAATGCATAAAATGTCATACAGCATACAAATGCAAGTTACTAAACTTTATAATGTTAACTCACTGGCCACTAGAAAGGTTTATTAAAAAGTGTCCTTTTTGGGGAAACTACATTTTAAAAGTTTTTATAATTTTATGACTAAGGATGTAGAGATATCCCTCCTAGGCCCCAGATTAACAGAAAACATACTTGTCATTTTGCTTCAGAGAAAGACTAGAAAGGAATTTTTCCCAGTTACTTTATGCAAGAATTTCCAAGAAATTAACCACACGAATATTAATCTCCTACTCAAAATGATAGCCACCAAAATATATATGTAATATATAGCAAATATTTATATACATAAAATCTCAAAACCTAGAGATTGTGGCTGGGGATTGACTGCAAAAGAGAAAGAGGGAACTTTTTAGGGTGGTGGATATGCTCTTTCTTAATTGGGGATGCGATTACATAGGTGAATACATTGGTCAAAACTCATCAAACTGTATATTTTAAATGGGCACAATTTATTGTATGTAAATTATACCTCAATAAAATTAGTTTAAACGGATTAGTCTCTGTTTCCTTAAATAAAAAAAAAAATCAGTTGCACCATGGCCTCATGGAGAACTTGAGATCTAATATATCACCTTGAAGATTTAAGAGGATGACAGGACCTGAGTCAGTGGCCAAAAAAAGGTCAACTCATGACCCTCTAGCCTCAATGTCAACTCAAATTAGAAAAAATAAACGCAGCATAATGGAGGTGGGTGAGAATTTCATATTCAAGAAAATGAAAACCAAAAATGATATTCCTTCGGGAAGCAGAGTGGGAAAAGCACACTGGAGTCCTTCAGAACTAGGTTCGAACGGCTCTAGGCTGTTAAGTGTGTACCCTTGGGAGTCCTCAGTCCTTGAGGCTCAGTTATCCTTTCTGCAAAATGGGGATCATAATGGCTGAGAGTTTAGCTCAGCACACAGTAAGTGCTCGATGCATAAGTAATACATGATATTATTTAAGGCACCAGAATTTAGTGCTGGCTGTAAATGCATGCATACATAAGCCCCCCACCCCAGTTTCCGTCTTGGAAGGTTGTAAGAGGTCTCTTTCGTACGCCTTATCGCCCTTAGCCTGACTTCATTTCTCGCTACACACACCCCTAGCACCTCTCCGGGACCGACCACCCCTCATCCCAGCAGCTCCCACGGGCCGTCCACCTCCTGGGCCCAACCTCGTTAAGGAAGCGGGTGATATCGTAGACTCGCCCGTGGATCACCAGCCATATGTCCTTCGAGGAGTTGCGCTTCGCCACCTCCTCCAAACGGTAATAGGTGACGGGGGTCTCCACCCCTTGCCCTTTCCCATCGCTGCCGCTTGCTTCCACAGTCGCCATTGGGCCTGAAACACCTCTTCTCCACCGCTAACCGGTTTTCCGCTAAGTGCCTTGAGGTAGACGCTAAGATCAGCCCTCCCCGGCTTCCGTAACCAGGGTCCAAAGGCCGTCGGTGGGTTTCCGAAAACAGCCAATCACACCTCTGAATAATTCCTGGTTTGTTTTCTTTTCACCAATGAAACAAGGGATTGTTTCAAATCCCTCCCACTTCTCCCCCTTTCTCAGGACGTAGGCCTGGTTCGAGGTCCAACTAACCAATCAGAATTGCACATCCCATCCAATCTCGCCCGTCAGACACCGTGATTTTGGAAAGGCGCCTAATGGAGACGTGTTGATTAAGGGTCATGGAGGACAAGTTTCCCTTTCACTTTGGCTTACCAGCCTGCAGAGTCCTGGATGAGGGGGCTGAGTCTCCATTTTCCCATTTCCCATCCCTTCTCCGTGGGGCCCTGCTGAGTCGCGCCAAGCTCGTTTTCCCCACCGCCCGCGCGGCATGTATTCCAGCCGCCGATTTACATCATTGCTTTGCAGCCTAGCGAATCTTGTCTCTAAGGCTGTTTCCTCGCTAGTGAAGTGGGCATGATAACCTCTACCTTATAGAGAACTCTGGCCAATTAAGTGAGAGTATATCTACAGAGCTCTTGGCACGTAGTAATCAATACAGAAATGAAAAGGCGGAGTAACTGAATCTCAGGGTGCATGAGTCACCTGAGGAAGCTTCGTTAAAAATGCAGATTCCCTCCAGTCTAGCCATGGAGTCTCTCCTTCACCTTGAATTTTGGCTTGCCTTTTTACTTTGGCCAGTAGATTGTGGCAGAAGTGGTGCTGCGCAAGTTACAAGTCTAGACCTCAAGAGGCCTTGAAGTTTCCATCTTCACCGTCTTAGAACAGTACCTGCAGATCATAATGCCGGGGAAGAAGCCTGGGATTAAAGACTAGCCATTTAAACTGACTCAGCTGAGCCCACCCCTTAATCAACTTGTCAGCTGAATGCAAACACATGATGAGCAAAACCACTCAGTCAACCCACAGGATCATGAGAAATAATAAAACATTGTTTTAAGACACTAAAAAGAAAAAAAGAAAAGCAGATTCCTAGCCCCCCTCCAGAGATTCAGGTTCGGTGGGTCTGGATATAGAACAATAAATCAACACTTTTAACAACTATTTTGGATGACTCAAGTGATCGGTGGGTAATTTTGGGAATCATTGAACTTTTTTTTTTGAAGCATAGTAGATGGCTCATACAGTGAATTAGTACAATTACATGGCATTTACCTCCACCTCTGGAAAACTTGAGTCCAATAGTGTTTTTAAAACTCTATTTTAAAAACTCTGAAGAACCTCTCAGCAACAGGAAGAGTTGGACAAATAATCTGGAGTACCACAAAAGCAAAAGCAGGCTCTCTGTGACTGGGGAAAGTGTGGTTGGGATTCCTCCAGTAGCAGTGATAATATTCCTCAAAGGGACCTGGGCAGGTGACAGGACCTTAGAGGGGAAACGCTACATGGTACATTCAGGGCGATTGAACCCTCGTTGCCAGGGCTCCCAACTAGCAGAAATACCTGAGCTCCACTGTGGAGGCTGTCAGCTCTGCAACAGATCTTTCAGTGACCAACGTGGACTGAGGATAGAGGGCCCTTGCTGAATGTTTTGCACCATGTAAAACCACTGGGAAGAAGAACACCCTTGTAAATGACTGAGACTGAATTTGTCACCATCATGGTAAGTGAAATTAGGTTCCAATTAAAGTGTTTTTATAAATCAATATTTAAATTTGTTTTAGAATTTCAAACAGTTAAGTTGAAAGAATAGTACAATGAACTCCCATATACTTCTAATTTAAATTCACCAATTTTAATACTTTTCCTTATTTGATTTCTTCCATATGTTTATTAATGTTAATAATGTCAAACTATTTCCGACATCACGACCCTTTACCTCCAAATAATTCTGTATCTTCTAAAAATAAGAACATATTCTTACATGACCCCAGTATGATTTTCAAATTCAGGAAATTTAACATTCATACAAAGTTATTATTTAACATGCTGTCTATATCATTTTCCAATTATAATAATTGCATTTATTTACGAGTCTTTAGTCTCCTTTAATCAGGTACATTTCTTCAACCTTTTTTTCCCCATGACATTGACATTTTTGAAAAGTATGGCCTCAAATTGAATCTGATTCAGAAAAATATTGTGGCCTAACTATATTGATTGTAAATTTATATTCATAATTTAAAGCACATGTTAGCCAGAAGGTCTAGCTTGGAATCCTGTCCATACCATTCACTCACTTGATAACATAGGCAGTTTTCTCAATCTCTTCTTTTTCAAGTGGATACCCTGCTGTTCCAATACCACCTGATGAAAACACGATTCCCTGTTGAATTGTTTTTATGTCTTTGTTGAAAATCGATTGACCATATAAGTGTAGGTCTTTTTCTGAAATTTCTATTCTGTTACAGTGATTTGTCTGTATGTCTTTATGCCAATTTCGCACTATTTTGATTACTATAGCTTTGAAATAAGGCTTGAAGACAGGTAATGTAAATCCTTCAGCTTTGCTCGTATTTTTCAAAATTGTTTCTGCTAGATACTTTGTATTTCCATACATATATTTTGAAATCAGCTTGTTGAACCAAGTGATCAAGGTTAACATCACCAGATACAAATCATGTTGATAGTATGTATCTTCTGGCAAACTTCTCTAAGCACAAGAAAAACATTAGGCAAACCCAAACTGAAGGACATTCTACAAAATATCTGACCAGTATTCCTCAAAACAATCTCATTTAAAAAACAAACAAAAAGACAAGATAACACCGAGAAATTGTCAATTGTCACAGACCCAAGAAGACTGAGACACAATAGCTAAATGCAGTGTGGATTGTATCCAGATAAAGTTAGCAGTAAGGTACCACTGTTGACTTCTTAGTTTTGACAAATGTACTATAGTATGTGTAAGATGTTAACTTTATGGGAAGCTGGGTGAAAGGTGTAGAAGAACTCTGTATTATATTTGCAAATTTTCTGTAAATCTAAAATAAATCCCAAAATAAAAAGTTTATTTTAAAAAATCAGCCCGTTAATTTCTGTATAAGAGTTTATAGATGAATTTATAGAGAATGAACATCTTAACAACCTTAGGTCTTAGATCCACAAACACAGTATACTGCTACATTTATTTAAATCTTTTTTTTTTAATTTGTAATTTTCAGCATACAGGGCTTCTACGTATTTTATTAAATTTGTTTCTAAATATTTTATGGTTTTTATGCTAATTATAAATTGAATTATTTCAGTTGCTCGCTGCTATAATAAAGAAATATAATTTTGTACACTGACTTAGTATTCTATGACCTTGCTAAATTCACTTATAGTTCTAGAGGTTGTTTTTACATTTCTTAGAATAAACTTAAATGTAGCAATCATATCATCTGCTAACAGACAGTTTTACTTCCCCCTTTCCAATCTGTGTGCTTTTTTTTCCTTGCCTTATTTCACTAGCTAGGACTTCTAATACAACACTGAATAAAAATGGTAAAATGAGTATTCCTGCCTTGTTCCCAATCTTAGGAAGAGGAAGAAAGCATTCAGTCTTTCATAATTAAATACGATGTTGTCTGCAGGTTTTTCAGTAGATGCCCTTTATCAGGTAGAGGGCAGAATTACCCTATATTCCTAGTTCCTCAAGGGTTTTTTTTTTGTTTTTGTTTTTTCTAATCATGAATGAATATTAAATCCTGTTGAATATTTTTTCTGCATCTATTGGGATGATCTTATGATTTTTCTCCTTTATTCTGTTAATATGGTGACTTACTTTGAATTGTTTTCAAAAATTTATCCATCTTTGCATTCCTGGGATAAACCCCACTTGGTTAGGATGTTGGTCTTTTTTATTTATTGTTGGATTCAATTTGCTACTATTTTTTTAAGGATCTTTGCATCTATATTCATGAGAAATATTGGCCTGTAATTTGTTCTTTAATGTCTTTAAGAGTTTTTTCAAGCTCTTTGATAAATATTTACTACAAGACTACAGCTATGTACTGTATCAACATGAATATTAAAAAAAAAAAACTCAGCACGGTGCCTGCCACAGAGTCCTCAGCAAATGCCAGCTATTTTGGAGTTATTATTTCTAGATGCTATAAATGAGACCCAGCTCTTAAAGAAAACTTACTTTCTAAGAGGAAGATGACACTTACTACATAAGACATTTTTAACATTAACACTTTACTTTTGCTGTTTTTACATATTAGAAAATCCTCTCCCCGCTGCTGTTCAGGTGTGTGCTCTGAAATTTATCTCAGGTAACAGTGGGATAAGTGTGTGAGGAACTGTTCCAGGGGAATTGTTATTTACCTTGCAAGTACATTTTACTGCCTTTGTATGACTAGTAAAATTGGAACAGGAAACTGTCAAGGAAAACTGCACATGCTCCTTGAGAATAGAGCAAGGAACAAGGATTCTATCTCATTTTTTGCAGACATCAAACATACCTCCTGTGTTCTCACACTTTTTTTTGGGGGGGTGGGGTTAGGGAGTTCCCCTATCCTATTCCAGGAATGGACTACAATGAGGAGCCCCTGAAATCTGTTCTTGTCCTTTTCAAAGTATTATATCCCCTAGCGACCTATTCTGTTCTGCCAGAAAGAAGACAAACTCTTAAAGCCATCACAGTCCAACACTCTCCCCTTCCCAAGGCCAGGCCTAGGCCATCCAGTGTCAGGGAGGCTTCAGGGAGTTGGTTCAAAGTTAGCAAAGTTAGGAGCCCATATCCTACAGGTCATGCCCTCAGGGAGGGTTTGGCTGCAAGCATCCTAGAGTTGTTCAACCCCAGGTCAGCCAGATCTCCCTGGCCTGTTGAGTGATCTCTTCTGGAGATTCCCCTGAGGCCATCCTGTTGAATCTTATGCCGGGGAGCCCACCTCCCACCAGACCAGCCCGGTTTCTAGAAGTGAAAGAAACTAAAGCTGGGCAAACATGCATCGTCGACAAGGATGCTTTCTACGCTGGGTCAGTTTTCCTAGCTTCAGCACAACCACCTTTCTTCCTTCCACTGTTTGTTTGTTTTTAACAGGTAATAAATACATTCACATG